AGGTGCACACTCACACACGATCATTACCTCAGGTATGGCCCACCTGTGCTTCCCCCCCAAGTGCACACTCACACACAATTAGGTATGGCCCTCCTGTGCCTCCACCCCAAGGTGCATACTCACACACGATCATTACCTTAGATACGGCCCACCTCTGCCTCCACCCCAGGTGCACACTCACACACGATCATTACCTTACGTACGGCCTGCCTGTGCTTCCCCCCACAGGTGCATACTCACACACAATTAGGTATGACCCTCCTGTGCCTCCACCCCAGGTGCACACTCACACACGATCATTACCTTAGGTATGGCCCGCCTCTGCCTCTACCCCAGGTGCACACTCACACACGATCATTACCTTAGGTATGGACCGCCTGTGCTTCCCCCACAGGTGCACACTCACACACACACTTCTTCGTGGCTTTCAGATGAGGTTGTTGGCTTAACAGTCAGAACCAGGTTTTCTGCCTGCTGTTTACCTGTATGACCAAGACACCTGCCTGTTTCCTCATTGTCCGGTGTTTCTGTAAAGGCACAGTGTAGTTCCTTGGGACTGCAGCGTGTAATCCAAGCCAGTTGGTGATGTGGTTCCTGTAGACCTCTTGGGTTCGTGATATAGTATCAAATACAAACATGTAAGTTTTCTGAGATCAAGATGTAGCTTCATATTCAAGTTTATACTTACATGAACTTTTTGTCCTTTCATTCCTTTGAAGAATTGTTACTAAATTAGTGCTGGCAGTTGCATCAGTGGTGTCTAAGAAATCAAAGTTGATCAGTCACAGCTCTTCTTGCTGTGTGCGGGCCCACTCGAGGTTTCCTGCCAGTCAGTGCCTCACTCTCCTCAGCACCAGCCTTCCTTCTCTGACCCATACCCTCGCATTGCCCTTTAGCCTTAGGCTATATATTTCTAAATCTTCCATCTTTTTTTTTTTTTCCCCAATACGATGGAATTGAACTCAGGACCTCACCTTTGCCAGGCAGGCACTTATGCAGCTGAGCTATATCCCCACCCATTCTAAATCTTTCATTAAATGTGTTTCAACTATTGTTACATTTAAAATAGACCTTTTACTCTTTTTTAGTGTTCGGAAACATCCTCAAACCAAGAAAATACAAATTACTTCTTCTGTCTTTAAAGTTACAGCCTATGTAAGTAGTGATTGAAGTTTGCAACAAAAGTAATTACTTATTATTACTGAGGTTGTTACAGCAGGGTGTGTTGGTATAGTCTGTAACGCCTGTAACCCTAGCTTTCTGGGAGGCCAAGGCAGGCCCAAGCCTGGCATGAGATTCTTAGGGACCTAGTGAGACCCAGGCTCAAAGTTTTTAAAAAATGGAGTGGAGCTGGGGATGTAGCTCACTCCAGACACCAGGGTCTATCTCTGTACCAGAAAAGAAAGCAGCTGGAGTTGCAGTTAACATACTGTGAGAGGGCTGGCCAAGTAGCTCAGCAGGTTGGGACACCTGCAAGCCAGTCAAGGGCCCCTTTCAATCCCTGGGCCTGCCGTGCCAGCCCCACCCTGAGGCACTGAGACAGCAATTGAGACTGGGCGTGGTGTCAGCACCTGTAATCCCAGCTCTTGGGAGGTTGTAAACAGGAGGATCACTACAAGTCTAATCAAGTAGTGAGACCCTGAACACCTTGTAAACCCTTCCCTAAAATACACACACACAAAAAAAAAAAAAACCTATGGGAACCAGGAAAAGGATAAGTACACAGTAATGGATGTTTATTCAAATTAAAAGTTGAATGGCCACGTGTGGTGGCACACACCTGTAATCTCAACACTTGGGAGGCTGACACAGGAGGATCACTTGGTGTTCAAGGCCAGCCTAGGCTACATAGCAAAACATCCAAAATTAAAATTAAATAATACCTGATAGGTATCTTTTGTGTAGAGACCGCTTTTTCCATCGCTCGCCTTCTGTTGTCTGTGTCTAACAATAGTCCTCACTTAGGGTAGAGGGAAATCTGTGGCAGGTGAAGAACAGCATGGTTACCTTCTCCGGCCGCTGCAAGTTCTAGAGCAAATAAGTCATGAATGTCTTTATATTGTGCAATCTGCTACTTGAATTTTAGCATCAAAAGGCATCACATGTAAGCAGTTTCTGAGTATCTTTAATCACTTAACAAGTATTTATTAAATATTTACTGCACTTCAGCTAGAGTTCTGGGCTGTCGCACAGTGATAAAAGGAATACAGTCCCTGCACTCCTGAGATGTGGGGACCTGGCTCTAAGAGAAAACGGGGCCTCATGCGAGGGCATTATAAATTCCAGGCCAGCCCCTGTCTCAGCCTTCCCCACAAAGCTAAGTAAAATAAAACAAAGATAGGAGAAAATTGCTAGACAGTTTGAAAATATTAGCATATCAAAAGCACCTTTTAAAAAAGGATTTCCCTTTGGAGTATAAATTTCTTAAGAACACAAATATATGAATATATATATTACATAATGTAGTACATACATAGTATGTAGACTAATTTGTAATATAATACATAGATTATACTGTTAATATTTTTAAATGTTAGCTACCAATTTTCAAACATTTTGGAGGAGGCGTACCAGGAATCAAACTCAGGACCTCTCACTTGCCAGGCAGGCGCTGTGCCACTAGCTCTACCGCAGCCCTGCAAAGGTTTCTGTATATTTCACCAGAAAATATATAGTAGTCAAATATGCTAATTATTTAAATTTAGTTGCATACTAAGTGACTTAGGTTTGTCTTTGCAGGATTCTACTGGCGTGTGCTACCCTTCAACAAGGAGTCACGAACAGACGTTTTCGTATCTTATTGTGGATCCTATCAAGCGTCATGTTAACGTTTTGTACCATTGCTTTGGTGTGGGGGAGATGTCTTGATGTTCTTTTGTTTTATCTATATCTACTGTGTTTTATCATTTTTGTATTTTAATACTAACTCAGGGACAAATATTTACTTTGTAGATGAGTTGAAGTAAAACATAAAGAGATGCTTAGGAATGAAAGAAAACACCAGGATGCCTTTGTCAAAATTTGTCTGGCTAACAAATTTTTATTCAAATAGGAATCCCTAAGATAATTGATAGGTGAAACATTGTGAAATTTTTACAGAAAGTCTCATTCATCTTTGGTCAGATGAGAAGCCAAATGGCACACACCCCTGTAATCCCAGCCCTTGGCTGGCTGAGGTGGGGAGGCCACTGAGTGCAGGCTGCATGGACTGTGCACAGGCCTGATGTCAGCCAACGAAGGCGGAGGTGGGGGCACCAGGGCAGGGCGGGGGGATGCGCTCCAGTAGAGCACCGGCCTGGCATGCCGCACTCCAGCATGGCCTCTCCCCAGGTTTCCAGGGGAGCTGGCAGATTTTTATGTTAGGTTTTTAAACTTGAATTTCCATTACTATTTGTTTTTCTAAGGCTCATATCTAGGGGCTGGGGCGTAGCTCAGGGCTCTAAGTGCCTGCCCGATGAGCTTAAGGACCCATTTTTTTCTTTTCTTTTTGGCGGAACTGGAGATTGAACTCAGGCCCTTGCACTTGCCAGGCAAGCACTTATTCTACTGCGCCATCTACCCAGTCCCAGGGACCCATCTTGTGTGGAACTGCAGGCATGCTGTGCTGGCCATGGAAACTGGGTATGGTGGAGTACACCTGTAATCCCAGCACTGGGAGGCTGAGACAGGAGGCTCACTATGAGTCCAAGCTATGTAGTGAGACCCTCCACCAAATAAAGAAAAACATTTTTTTCTTAATTTTTTTTTAATTTATAAGGTTCACATCTCTAGAGTAAGGAAAAACAGCAATTTTTTGATTCATTTGTTCTACTCAAAATCCTCCATTAAAACATTAATGTTCTAGGGCCAGGGAGATAGCTCAGTAGAATAAGCACTTGCCTGGTGAGACTAGGGTCCTGAGTTCAATCCCTGATAGCAGAAAAAAAAAGTCTTTGTCACATAATAAATTAAAACTACAGCTTCCCCACCAAAGGCATCCTGGTGTTTTCTTTCACTCCTAAGCATCTCTTTATGTTTTACTTCACTCATCTACAACAGCTAATACAAGATGTACATGTAAACAGAGAAAGTTGTCTTGATTGTTCTATTGACAAATAAAGCAAGAAACAAGTTGTCTCATACTCTTTCATTGCACTCATAGATTTAATGTTGTAGAACTTATTTTATTCATTTTTATTTTTTTCTTACGTATTTGGTACAGGGTCTCATTATGTAGCTCAGACTCATAGTGATCCTCCTGTTTTCAGCTTCCCCAGTGCTAGGATTATAGCCTTGAGCTACTGTCCCCCCACACTTGGTGGCTCAGGATCCCTGGGTCGGTGCCAGTGAGGCATGCAGTATTTTATTTTTTAAAGAGAGTATAAAGTGGTATTAAAATAGAAAAATTGCAAATGATACAGAACTTCACTAAACAAAATAATATGAATTTCACAGTATTTGCTTTAATGCATAGTGTTGTCCTCAAATTGGTTGTTCATATTACCAGATATATGAACGTAAAATTGGAAGAAAAAAGAAAAAATATATAAGAAATTAAGAAGCTAGAAAAAGGAAAGAGAATTTTAAAAAAAGAAGACAAAACTCATTAAAGATTAACTGCTGCTTTCCACAGACCAGCAAAGGAGGGGCCTGCCGGTTAGCTCAGTTGTCTAAGCGCCTGCTTATGCAAACACAGTCAAGCACAAGATACCACGGTTTGATTCCCAGCTCCACACACCTTACCAGACCCACCCTTAAGCAGCCTGACCCAGGCCAAAACCAACAACAAAATCCTTCTCCACACAGTAGAAATGCACTGTATACTGGTGCAAACCCTCCTGTTTACCTACATCGATAGGTCTCTTTCCCCTACTCCCTCTCCTGTCCTCAGTAATTTTTTTCCTTTTGAACAGGTTCATTTCCTTTTCCCAGTATCTTCTGTACCCTTCAGATTTTATTTTCTCCTTCAGGTTCTCACACAGAGCTTAGTGTTTTTAGTGGGAACAGTGATCAACACATACCTCATTGGTGATGGAAAGCTGTGGGAAATGCTGAGAGGAGGAGGAATAGTTTAGAATATGTCCTCCTAGCTGGGCGTGGTGGCACACACCTATAATCCCAGTACTCTGGAGGCTAAGGCAGGAGGATCTTCGCGAGTTCCAAATCAGCCATCAGCCTGCACTACAGTGAGCTCAAGGCCAGCTTGAACTACATAGAGAGGCCCTCTTGCAAAAAGACAAAAAAAAAAAAAAAAAAAAAAGTTTCTGTAATATAGGAGTAATCTTGGATTTGAACCTGAATTGGAATGTGGAAGGCAACTGACAACTTGAGTTTAGTGCTGTGGAGAGAAAGTTTGCTTTATCTCTTACTATCTAGCACAACCCCTTAGCCCCCTAAGTGTTTACTAAAGGAATGACTTTTCCAGATGTGTTGCAGTAGATTGAATGTGCCCCGTCTGAAATGCTTGGGACCAGAGAGATTGCAGGGCTTTTCATATTTTGATATATTTGGAGACTGCCCAGTAAAACTGTAAATAATTTCAAATATAAAACTTGTTGGGCTGGTGAGATGGCTCAGTGGTCTAAAGCACCTACTTAGAACAAGCTAAGCTCAAGCAAAGCACAGAGACCTCGGTTCAATCCCCCAGCACCACATGCCGGCCTGCTCGCCCCCTGGTGGGCTGAGCTGGCCACACAATAAATAAATAAATATTAAAAAAAAAAAAAAAAAAGCAAAACTTTAAAAAAAAAAAAAAAACTTGTTGTAGGGGCTGGGGAGATGGCTCAGTAGAATAAGCACTTCCCTGGCAAGCACAAGGGCCTGAGTTCAATCCCTGGTTCTGCCAAAAAAAAATCTTAAAAAACTTGTTGAATGCTGATGTGACAGAAGTAACATTTCTGATTTCAGACTTGCTAATCAGGGATATGTAATCTGTAAAATAGATTCGCCTTTCCCCCAAAATTTCCTTTTTTTAGTTGATATGTGGAAAATGTACAGATTATACATATTTATGGAGTACAATGTGACATTTGAGTAGAGGTATATAATGTGTAATTTAAAATTTTATAAAAATAAGCCAAGCGTGGTGACACTCACCTATAACCCAGCACTTGGGAGGCAGGAGGATTGCTGCAAATTTGAGGCCAGTCTGGGCTACAAAGTCAATTCAAGGCCAGCCTGAACTTTCTGAGACCCAGCCTCAAAAAGACAAAAAAATAAAATTATGTAAAACAGTTGCTGAGCAAAGCGGTGTAATCCCAGCAGTATGGGAGGCTGAGGCCTGAAAACTGCAAAGTTAGTCTCAGTCTGAGCCATTTAGGAAGAACCCATCTCAAAACAGCCCTGGGTTCAGTCCTCAAAGTAAAGCAGGAGCTGCATCTATTTGCTACTCGTCTTGCTAAACTACATATTCGCTCAGGAACAAATCCTCTCAATTAGTCAATCAGAAACTTGGAATTCCATGTCTGCAGCTTACCTTAGAGACTCCTGAATTCCCTGTAAGTCCAGCAGGGAAGATAATTTCTATAGGTGTGAGTTCAGGGGCAGGAGGTCCTTGTGCACAAGGCCGGTGGAGGGCAGCCTCTGTGAACCTCTGGAGCGCTCCCGGGCATGCGCACTGTGGCGCTGTGGGCCAGGCTCTGGGTCAGTGTGGAAGTAGGAGGTGGGAGACTATGGGTCATTGTTTTTTCCTCAGCTCTCAAGGTACAAGAAGTAAAAAGGAACTTTGAGGAAAGACTGTTCCTTTGTTTGGGGAAAATCACTTGAATGACCCATCTGTGATTAGGCAAATTGTCTAACTAGAAAGGTTTAATGGGAAAGTGATAAGAGTTTGGGTGTGGTTGACAGCAGGCCTGAATTTAATTTTGCCAGGCCTTTATGGTGTGACCTTCAGTTGTAACCTTTCTGTGCCTTTTCTATAAAATGGAGAAAATATGGTTTCTTCCTAGGTTATTTTGAAAAATCTGTAACAGTACCTGTTTTGGGTTCACAGCCTGGCCAAGCCCACAGGTTAAATGCTCATGACTTTGTACTCTTTCTTGACTGAGGGAATGAGCTCAAATGCACTCAGCTGTCTGAACAATCATGTAAGATGTCCTCAGGAGCTAGTTGCTTTCTTACAGATCATTATTACTTTGACTAGATTGGCTTAACCTCCCTCCTTGGGGCACAGAGAATGCAGAAGTCCCAGAATCAGACACCCAGTTTTGGGGGGGTTTGGTTTATTTTGTGGAGGAGGGATTGTTTTCATTCTCATCTCTTTGCATACTGGATCCAATTTCTCAGCTAATCAGTTTTCTGTCATGAAGTCAAACGTGGTGTTAGGCAACTGCTACCCCAGCATATTGCGGGACTTGTGTTCCAGGCCAGCCTGGGCTACCTAGAAAGTCCTTGTCAGCCCCACCCCACCCCCACAGCAAACATGTTCATCTCATGAAAACAGGGCTTATGTCTCTTGTCCACCCTGCATCCCTAGTGCCTAACATAGCGCCTGGCACTTGAAACACAATGAATACCCATTTCTGCCGGCCAGGCCCATTGGCCGCAGCGCAGTGGCCTTGAAATGACATTTCTGGGAGTAGGAAGACCGGGAAGAGGAGGGCCGGTCCCTGTGCAGGGCCCAAGCCCGCGGACTCCTGCACCCTTTTTGTCTGGATGCCTATCTTAAGTTTTCTGTGCTGCAGTCGTCGCTCCAGTTAACCCTAAACCTTTTGTTAAGTTGTGTGAACTATTGTAGTCCGGATTTAGCTGCACAGTGTGGGATTAGATATGCAGCCTGGGAACAGGCCCCAGGCGACACTAGAGAAGAGCAGCAGCTTGTGGAAGCCAGCGTTGGCAAGGCAAGCTCGGATCCAATGAGAGTGGCAGGCGGCCTGCAACGGCCCCGCTGACCTGCAGCTGGCCCGCTCCGACTGGGAAGTCTTCAGAATTTCCAGCATTACAAAGAAAGGCCTCGCAGATTTGTGATTTGGCCATGAAGAGAGGTGTAGACTAAAGTTAGAAAACCTGGGACATTTAGGTCCCCTGAGCAAAAATAACCTCAAAGGCATGAACACAGGGGTTTGAGGAGACCTGAGTGGATTTGGGCTATAAAGTCGGAGAGTCCTACTGGGGAGAAAGCTCAGCAGCGTATGTGCCTGCCTGGCAAGCACAAGGTACTGAGTTCAATCCCCAGCACAAAAAAGAAAAAGGGGGGGGGGCTTTCCAGAAATGCTGCACACTACGGGGGGACAAGTAAATGGACCTGGTTACTGAGGGTTGTCGGGCAAAGCTAAGAAATGTGTGTCTTTCAAGTAGGAGGTATGTAGCAGTCACCAGAGATTTTTAGCAAGAGCAAAGGATCATGTGACATTCTGGAATGACAGTGAGACGGGAATCAGAATGAAAAAATCTGAAAATGAAATAGGTTACAGTACTTCTCCAAGCAGCGGTACCTGAGCTAACAGCAGTGGGGAGCTGGGCATGGTGGCGCATGCCTGTAGTCCCAGCACAGAGGCAGGAGGATCACATGA